TTAATTATTTATTTTATTTATTTATTTATTTATTTATTTATTTATTTATTATTGTTGTTCTAATTGCGTGTTTGAATGGATGCCTAGTGGCCCCGTGTCTTCCTGGCGGGGGGAGGGGGTGGCTCACCTCCTCTGCCTGCGCCCATGCGATGGCTGCCGCCCTGGTGGTTTGCGGAACCGTCAACATCGCCCCAGTCTTTTTCTTTTCTTAACTGGTCCAGCGCACCCACGCACACGAAAAACGAAATCAAAAGAAAATAAAAGGAAGGGAAGAATAAAGCAACGCGGCAGAAAGACGAAACAAGCGTGGTAACACCCCCAAAGGGATTCGGAAGAGAAGGACCACCCCGTGCAGGCAACGTTACCGGCATAGAGAACGCAGGTCCATGCTGGTCATCCAGGTTGCTGCTGATATTTTTAACAGTAAGGTGAACTTTGAGCTCACCTTCCCGCGCCGGCCAACGTTGCCCGAGGTCTTGCACGCCACAGAGGCTGCATTCTCAAACGAAATCGCTCTTCGCCGTCCAGAGCATGTCCCACCACATACCTTTAACGTTGCCAAGATTAAGCTGTACGATGAGGATCGAAACAAGTGGGTGGATTTGGTGTCGGAGGGGCAGTTGACCGACTACTGTCAGTTGTACGCATTTCAACCGGACAACCAGTGGCACAAGGAAAGCCAGAAGGAAATTCCGGCGGCGGTAAAACCACCAATGTCGGCGCAGCGGCCACTTGTAAATGCCACCAGCTCAGCGACGGGGCATGGAGCTTCCAACGGTGGCTCTGCGCCGGCTGGTGCGCTTGCCCCCTACGCAGGTGGTCGTACGCCCATTAATCAACGCAGTGACCCCCAACATTACCGTCGTTCATCACTGCACACGAGTACATCCGGAGCCCTAGTTCCAAAAATACACGCAGAGGCATCACATGAAGAGAAGGTTCGTGTTTTGTTTGCCGAGTTGGACTCGAAAGGACGCCGCCTGCTGGAGAAAGGGGACTTCAAGCAGGGCTTTCAAACCTTTAACCTTGACCTTTCTGCCGAGACGGTGGAGGACCTCTTTGAGAAGGCCGACACAAACCGTGACGGAACAGTGTCCTTTACCGAATTTGAACGTTTTTGTCGTCTCTACCCAATCATGACGGATTGTCTTTTTTTCCGCTCAAAGGCGTTCTGGGATGAGGAACAGCTGAGGAGGGAGATTCAGGTGGAGCGGCAGGCAGTGAGGCAGGCAGAACAAGCCGTGGAGCAGGTGCGCAAATCAGTAGAAGATGCGGAGCAGGAAGTGGTCGCTGCGATGGATGCCGTCACTGCAGCTGAGGCAGAACTGAAGGACCGCACAGACCGACTTCGGGATTTGACCAAAGACATGGACAACGCTAAAAAGGAGAAGGAACGTGTCATCCGTGAGAAGAAGGAGCGTGAAAAGGAACTTGCCAGCACGCGGGATCATGAAAAGGAGGTGCGCAGGGAGTCACAAGATATTGCCCGTGAGGCTGAAAGGTCGGATCGCCGGGCTGTTGCGCTTTCCGGTGAAGCTGTCACAGCCGATGATAAGGTCCGACAACTAGAGAAAGCGTTAGAGGAGGCGAGGCGAGCGGCAGAGCGGGCTCATGTCTCGGCAGAGCAGGCGGCACGTGACGCCGAAGTTATGAAGCAGCGCGCTCGAGATGCATCCAAGAACGTGGAGGACGTGGTGCGAGAGATTGCCCGTGTGGAGGAGGCTGTGCGTGGAGCGGAGCACAGTGTCGCGGTTGCCGACAATAATGCCCGTGAACTTGAGGGAATGGGGAGGGAACTCTCCCGTGAGGCGGAGGACGCCTCACAGCGGCGCGATCAATACGAGAAGGCTGTGGAAAACGCCAAAGAATCTGTGCGGGCACGGGAGCAGCAGTTAGATGGAGCGAAACGGCAAGTGGACGAACGAGAAAATATGGCGAGGCAGAAGGAATCGGAACTGGCGGAGCAACGGAAGCAACGGGAACTTGTGTCCCAGCACGAGCGCGCCCTAATAGAGCAGGAGCTACGTCTACGGGAGCAGCGGGATAGTCTGGAGGAACGCGAGACAAAACTTATGTCCGAGGCCAGTAGTTTTTTGGGTAACCTTCGCTTTCAGCTGCAGGGGGGACGACCCTGATCGCGTGAGTGGGGCATCTCTTTTTTCTGCAGTTCCGACGTGTGGCCTGCGTCGAAGTGTCATTTAATTCTGCATATACATATATATATATATATGTATGCATGCCCTTCTTGTTCCTGGTTTGGCCCTGCCGTTCTCTTTGCTACGCCTTGTGTATGCCTGTACTTCTGTGTGTAGATTTCTGTGCTTTTTTTTCCCCTTCTATCGCGGCGTGGAGGGTATTTGCTTTCTTTTTTTCTTATTATTATTAGTTTCTTGCCTCTCTCTTGTTCGTGTCTTGCGTCTGGGGTTCGTGTTGTGTGGGGCGGTGTGACAAGGAAAGGCAAGAACAAAAGAGTAAAGAAGAAAAAAAGAAAGAAAAAAAAACATTAGAAGCCGCATGAGCGGTGAATATCCCATGATTTTACTTTCCCTCAGTGCTATCTGCCCTCTTCCTGGTGGTTAGTGTCGTGTTTGGTGGTGGTGTGGAGGGAGGGGAAAGGGGGGTTTGTTTATTCTTGTACCTCGCATCTTTTTGCATTCGCTTACTTCCCAGGTTTGGGGAGGCGGGGACGGTTGCATTGGGCGTGACAGGAATAGCCTGTGCGGCGCGCCGCACTTGACGTCTGCCGGCCGTTGGGAACTTCCTCACGTCATCTTTCCAATTTTTTTTTTTCCCCGTCTCTCATTCCCCCTCCCGCCTCTCAGCGCCGTGGTGCCTCAGGTTGAATAGCAGAAGCACCACTTATTTTTTCACCTCTCCCTCCTCCCCATTTGCGTTCCGCGCCGCGTTGCACTTGAACCGCGGGTCACCAATTGGTAATGTTGGGGCTGGGGCGGTTCAAAGTGGCCCCAGTGACAGCGACGGTGGCCGCTGGTGGAATGATTCAGCTGCGCGGCATGGGGGACGGACAGCAAGCGCAGGTGCGGGGGCAGTCCACCCAAGCGCTGCGCAGCCTTTATCGTCGTCTCCGCAAGGAGGGTGAGGACCGGCAGATGCTGGAGCGGGCGCTCTCTACCCGCCCTTTGGAGACGAACATCAAGGTGGGCCTGAGCCTCCTCCATCACCACACCATGCTACTCAACATTGACCGTGAAGCGCGCGAGTTGGCGTTTTGGCAACTCCTGCGTCGCTTCTGCCTTGCGATTGCTAGACGCTACTTTGTGTGGCGCATTTTTTGTATTCGTCTTCTCTTACGCAGCACGGCGGCCATCAGTGACGCCTTGGTGTACACCTTCTTCCTGGCAATTTGTTTCACCTTGTACCAAATGTATAAGGTATGCCGTATTGGCGTCACACGCGCGGAGGAGCGCTACGAGACGCTGGCCATCCCCATCAAGCAGACATTTGACGCACTTGAGCAGGCGCAGGAGCGGCGGAAAGCCCTGCGACACGAGTTAGAGAAGGATATGCTCCAGCAGCGGTAGGGAGGAATGGAACGCAAACGGAGGAAGGAAGCAAAGCAAAAGTTAAAGTTAAGCAAAAGAAGGAAAGGCTGTGCAGAGCCTAATTGAAGGAAGAGAACTGGATGTTGGTATATCTTTCTTTTACTTCATATCTACACTTCTGTGTTGTTTCTTCTAGACATTTCAAGGTGGATGTTTCTGTGGGTGCATTCTTTTTTTGCTGGCTCCTTATTTGGCTGTGACGTATGGAACTTGCACATCCCCTCTCTCCATCTCTATCTATCTGTATGTACAGCAGCGCCACCATCCCTCAATCATCACATCCAGCATCACCATCAACGGCAACAGCTGTGAGAGGTGTCAGGCGCTGCTATTCGCTGCATTGGCCGTCTTTTCTCCACGCAGGTGTGGGATGGAACGAACGAACTGCATTGACCTGGGCACGGATAGCTTGATGGCAACTGCTGTTGGATATGCGGCACGGAGGCAACAGTGCAAGGGAAAAGAGAAGTGTCACTGGGGGGGACTTTTTGTTGATAGTAGCAATGACTGCGACGAAAATCGTGGCGACCCGCCGCCTCGGCACCGCAGTATCTCGCTGAGCCAGCTACTATATGGTGAGCCGTTGCGGCATGAGGCTGTGACCAGGCCAGCCACAGCCAAGTTGAGCCTGGGTGTGGATGCTGACAATGCTGTGGATGACGATGGTCTGATGGATATTCAACGTCTCATCAACTCACAGTACGACGCATGTGCGAGCAGAACCAGCAGCCGCAGGGATAGCAGTAAGGCTTGTGTCCATGATGATGATATTGACAGCAAGTTTTTGGATGGGGGGCGTAGTTGGTGCTCTTCTTTGCCACCATGGCCCGTGCAGCATACAGAAAAGGGCGTTTTCGAGGAGGCCTACGAGGGCCTTGGGGATCAAGAATCTGCGGAGACTTCCCGGAGAATGGCTAGGCGCGAGAGCCGCAGTGTGGGGGTTCAGTGTGACGTGCGAGCTGCAACGACGGCTGTGGAGCTGCAAAAGCTAGAGCAGCTCCGCCAGGAATTTATTGTGAGTGATCCTGAGAGTGTGGCTCACGCTCTCGCACGGCTCATTCGTGCAGTTGAGATGGATCGTTTTGGGCACTCGTCAGCGTTTACCTCTGCTTTGCTGCAGCAGGCTCAGTTGTAGATGCATCGGTGGGACAGCTCAGGGTGGAGAGACACAACAGCAAGATATATATATATATATATATAGCGAGAGAAAGAAGGGAAGGTAGATGCAATGTGTGCATTGTTTGCGTGGCATTTCAACGATAAAAACCCTTGAGGCAACGTCTTGATGCGTTGAATGTTGCCCGTGTGCTGTTGGTGTGTCTACACATCTTTTAACCTCATCTCCGCCTCTTTATTTTTCTTGTTGATGTTGCTGTTTTTTGGCTACTCCGTCTTTCCGCGTGTAGCAGGCCGGTCCCGTGATGGCGGTGGCCGTTTCGGCGGATGGTGACGTGGTATCGTTCTTGCGGCACGCGGGCGAGTGCTACGCGGAGCACAAGGAGCTGCTGCGCCGCAAGCACTTGGAGGACGAGCGGAGAGAGTGCCCGTTTAGGCCAACCGTATCGGAGTACGCGGAGAAGATGAGCCGTCACTCCATCACCCGACGCAGCGAGGCCGTGGAGAAGCGGCTGCACGAATTGCATGCCAAACGTCTTGAGGTGGCGCAGGCGCAGCGGGCCGAGAGCCGAGAACGAGAATGGGCTGAGATGGCGGTGGAGGTGCGGGCACCTCAGGTGACGGCGCGTGCGCGCTCACTGGTCTCGCGTGACCCGGCGGAAGTCTCGCGGAAGTGGCTGGAGAAGCGGGAGGAGAAGTTCGCGCGACTCCGTGAGGAGGCGTTGCGGCGCGACCTGGAGGCACTCCGCGAGGTTCCACGCATCTCGCAATACGCGCAGGAGAGGTTTATCGCTGAGCGCCACCAGGGTCAAGCGATAGAAGACTACCTTATGGCAAAGGAGGAGGCACGGCGGGAGCGCATGTATTGGCTGGCAGAAGAAGGTGTGGGTACGAACAGTAGCTTCAGCAACTCCTCCTTCTTCCGTCTTGGGAAGCTGCCTGAGCGGCAAGACGAGCCGCAGCCCGCGTTTACTCCCCGCATTACGGAGTACACCAAACAACTCCACCGCTCGGGAAACGTTGAGGACCGTTTGCTTGCGGGGAGGGGAGAGGACAGGAAGGTACCACACGATACGTCATGCACCTTTGCGCCGCGCATCGCTCCGGCATCGCTAGAGATGTCCAAGAACTACTACAGTGATCCAAATGCCTTGGTGTATGACCGATTGTACCGTAATGACGCAATGAGGCTGCGTGAGCTGCGGCGTAAAAGGGCGAACGTGGCATCGCAAAAGGAATCGACGGGTATTCCCCGCATCAGTGAGACGTCGCGCCTCATTGTGGAGCGCAAGAGGGCAGAAGCGATGGAAAAGGAATTGCAACATAGCCCGACAACGCGTCTTCACCCTTCCTTGTGCGAGGCCTATAAGTATGCCCAGAAAAAGCAGCCGCTTCTACAGGCGCGGCAGAAGGAAGAGAAGGAGCGGTGCACATTTAGACCGCGTGTCAATCCCACTTCCGAAAAAATGTGGCGACACCAATTGCAGATGCTGCAGGAGGACGGATACGCGCGAACGGCGGAGGGTGCGCGGGAACTTTTGTGGCGGCGCTCACAGCAACGTATGGAGGAAGAGGCTCGACGACGCCGGGCGATGGAGGAGGCGCAGGAGATGGAGGAGTGCACATTTCACCCGAAAGTAGGACGTTCACCGGAGCGCCGCGTGGGCCGCGAACTCTCCCTCTCACAGCGCAATGAGATGTGGCAACGGCAGCGAGATCGGCGCCTGCGTGAGGCCAGGATGGAGTTGGAACGCACGCAGTTGTCTGAGTGTTCCTTTCATCCCACGGTGGATTCGGTGTTTCCGCTGCCTGCGCACGACGCGACGGTTGTTTCTGGGTACGAGGCTCACGTTTTGCGGCAGGAGGAGTCGCGCCGGCGCAAGCAGGAGACACAGGAGTGGTGGCGGCCAAAGACGGTATCTCCAAAGGGGCCGAATGCCTCGCGTCAAACATTTAGCTCCGTTTCAGAGCCTCGACGTCGACACAGACAGCCGCGGCAGGGATCCGAAGGCATGCGACAAGTCTCGGCGTCATCTTCACAGAGAAGCTGTAGTACCTCCTTCTCAGGTAGGAACCGCACGCAGTTTGTGGTGAATCAGGCCCCATCGTGCGCTAGTTTGGTGTCGCCAGGTTCTGCATCCCCCTTATCACCGCGGCCGTACCATCAAAATTTAAACCATCGAAGGCTTCACTACAGTGGCGACAACGGCATTGGTGCCGCGGTGCAGAGTGTCAAGCCAAGTCCCGTAGAATTTATTATCCGCCATCACCGGGCGATTGTAGAGTCGTCGCGGCGGCGTGGGTAGGCGATAGATGCAATCGTCAGGGAAACGAAGAGAGGAGGGAGGATTGAGGAGGGAGGAGGGGGGCGAGGGAAGGTGTACCATTTACGCCCTCTCTCGGTCTTGTACTGGTGCTGAGTGAAAGGCAGTATTCCATGCATGCACACATTGGATATGTGTTTCTGTGTGTGTGGGGGGGGCGGGGGGTGCCAGATATATTCATACCCTCGTCATTGTTGTTGTTGTTTTTTTCATTTTAGCTCTTGGGCTCACGATCTCTCCGTCTCTCCACTGTGTTCTCTTTGTCACTCAAGTTGTTCCTTTACATTGCTGTGATCTTGTGGTTACACTGCAATCGTCCCCACCACCACCACCACCGCCTTTTTTTTTTTCTGCCTCTCTTCCTCATCCCGCTTCTCCTACAACTCTTCGGTATGACTGACAATCTGCATTGTTTTTCTTTTAGCGGCCACAGCTCTGCTGTTTGTGTAGCAGTGCGTAGATCGTTTACTCTATTTTTTTTTCGTTAGATTCTTGTAAAGATACACATATACATCACAGTTGTCGAGTAATTATATATGGAGAACGTCCGTGTCGCGGTACGAGTTCGTCCTTTTCTGCCCAATGAGGAGCCGCGTCGTTATATGACAGTGAGCGGCCACCAGATTGCCATTGGGGAGTCGCGGAAATTTGCTTTTGATGACATCTTCGACATGGACGCAACATCGCAGGTAGTAAATGACGCCGTTGCGGCGCCGCTGGTATCTGCTTTTGTGGCTGGCTACACGGTTTCTGCCATCGCCTACGGACAGACGGGTGCAGGGAAGACGTTCACCATGTCGTCCTTGTCGGCGGATGTTGTGCAGCGGGTATTGGCCGCGTTAAAGGAGGAAGACCTTGCGGAGGACGATGGCAAACACGAGTTTCGCTTCTCTGCAGTGGAGGTGTACAATGAAAGCATCAGCGACCTCATCGCCTCCGGCACCGGCTCCATGCTACACCCGTCGCATTCGATGGGGTCGTTGCCATCGCTGTCGCTGCGGGAAGACTCGCGGCATGGCGTGTACATTCAGGGCCTCTCCGAAGTGGTCGTGGAGAGCAAGGAGGAGCTGCTTGCGTGGGTGAAGAACACGCCCACCAACCGTCGCACCGCCTCCACACTGATGAACGCGACAAGCTCCCGCTCACACCTGCTGCTTACGATCAGCCTCACAGACGGCGGGGTGGTGTCGCGCTTTGGTTTGGTAGACTTGGCGGGGAGTGAGCGCATCAAGAAGGTGAACGGCCGACAGCTTGCGACCGGTGCCATAAATGAAACGCTTAACGAGCAAGCCTCACAGTACCTTAAGGAGCGGTCGAAGGGGATTGAAATGGCCTCACGAATGCGTGAAGGCATCAGCATCAACAGTGGGCTCCTTGCACTGGGAAATGTTATCGTGGCCCTTTGTGAGCGGAGGTCGCACGTACCGTACCGCGCCTCGAAACTCACCCGTCTTCTACAGCCCATGCTGGGTGGGAACTCAAAAACAGTCATGATCGCTTGTGTCTCGCCTGCTGTCTCCTCCTTTGAGGAAACGTTGAATACGCTGAAGTACGCCAATCGCGCCAAGTCTATTCGTACAAGCTCTTTTAAAGTAGATACAGGTTGCTCCACCTTAGAGGAGGCCGAGAGAACTATTGCGTGGCTTAGGCAGCGGCTGGAGGCGGCACAGCAGGCTTCGCAGGAGGCACATTCCCCCATGATGTACATGTTTCCAGCGGTAGAGGAAGCACGGTTGGGGGAAGTACAGGAGTTACTTGCAAGCGAGCGGAAGTTGACGCAACGGCTGCAAGAAGACCTCTTCAATGCAGAGTACACTGCCATGATTGAGGTTGAAAAACGCAAGCAGCTTGAAAAGCGTCTTTTGTCCATTGAAGCCCAACAACAGCGTGAGCTTAACGAGTTTATGGAACTAAGTGGCGCACGGCCGTGGGATGACTTCCTTCGAGAGGATGCTGCTGAGGAGAGGGAAACTGCGTCATGCACTCAGCTACAGGCCGAGAGTGACGAGCTACCGGCATCGAAGGGAGAAAGGGAGGGTGAGGAGGTGCGGCTATCGGCCTCCGAGGGCGCGGCTCTGGAGTACCTTTCTCGCGACATCGCGGCGAAGGATGGATTGATCCAGAAGCTGGCGCGTCAAAAAGAGGAGGCGGTGCAGGAGTTGGAGTACTACAAGTCTCAACTGCAAGAGCTCCAGGACGTCCGGCATCGCTTGGAGGATGAGTTGTCACGCGCCGAGGCAAAGATAGAGGCAGCCAAGATGGAGCGCCAGGGAAAAGAGGAGCGGCGAAGCTCGCTGGCACATCACCAACTGCAGCTGCGCAAATCCGAAGAGGCGGCGGAGTACCGGCGGAAAATGCAGGAATCAACAGCGGTCGTCACAGCGCAAGAGGCCAGCGCAGAGATGATTAAACATCTACAGTCACAGGTGGCGGAGATGAATGACGAACTCAACCGTCATAGGCACACCTTGCGGGAGCGGCAGCAGCGCATCCACAAGATGTCTGTCTCCCATGCCCAGGAGTTGAACCAGCTGCAGAAGAAACTGCGCGCGTCGGAGGCGCAGGTGACGAAACTGCAGGTTCAGCTGCAGAAGAAGGAACGGGAACTTTCACGCGTCAAGAAAGGTGGGGCAGGTGGTTTTACGCGCCGCCAACCAGCAACACTTACCCCGCAGCAGTCACCGACGGCCAATGTGCTGCCAGTGGACCTCTCGGAGGGCGTACAAAAGGAAATTGATATCGAATTAATGTCCATCGCCAATTTGGAAAGAGAGCTTGACGAGCTGACGGTAGACCGTGACGAATTAAAGAGTGCACTGAGAGAGGTGGAGGAACGCACCGGCGGCATGGATAAATGGGAAAAGGCAGTGAAAGCATTTAGCATGCGACTGCAACAACTGGAGCGGGAGCTTCAGTCAGACACCCTTAGTGAGCAGTTGCGGTCGCAGTACGGCAGTGAGAAGGTGAGTATTGAAGATAGATTGCGGCAATTAAAATCATTTGAGCCTGTGGTGGCGGAGGCATCGAGGCAGCTGGTAGAGATGGAAAGCAACCTTGATAGTTTACAAGAGGCACGCATGTATCACCTACGACGGGTGCGTCAGCTGCAAAATGGGGCCTTAACGTCTGTGGACCGAAGCATCTGGGCCTCTGGATTGCTGCAGCGCGGGGCTGCAGATTGCGCAGAACTTCTTAACAAAAGAAACTAATTGTATAAATATTCGAATACATGTCATGGTATGCTTAAAAGTGGAAAACACATTGTTGTTGTTGTTGTTGCTGCTGCTGTTCTTATTATTCTCACTATGTCCCTGTACTGGGGTGAGGAAGAGAAGGGATACGAGGGAGCGAACGTGAGCGGCATGGCGTGCGTGTGTGTTTGTGTTTTTGTGGCAAGAAGGTCAGGAACGGCCTTTGCGCCTGCCTGTTGCATCTACTGGTTGTTGTGTCGTTTATATATTTTTTTGTTTACGCATATTTTTTATAGTGTTTCTGTGTTTTTTCCTTCTTGTGATCTTATTTCCTTTTGTTCTTTCTTTGTGTGTTTTTTTTTTGCCGCTCTGCGCCCCTCCGGTGTTTGGCAGTTCGTGCTGTAAGCGCAGGCAACCGACGCCGTCGGGAAGTTGGGAGACCACCAGAAAAAGTGTGCATGACACAAAAAAGGCAACGCGTGCGCAACGGCGCAGCCGCCTCAAAGCGAGGAAATGAAGGTGTAGAAGACGCAGAACCGTCGGGCATTTTACCGCAGGGCGGTCTTGATCGCATTGCCTCGTGGGAGGTCGAAGAACCACATGTCACGGCCGAAGAGGATACTGTTGAAAGTGCCTTTGAACGTGTGGCGCCGTCAGTGAGCGGGCCACTGGTGGCGCGACTCATCCCGCTTTCCACAGGGAACACGGGACTCTCCTCTATCGATATCCACCGCGACGTGGGCGACATGATACTGGGACGCTCCAAAGAGCTTGTAGTGGAATGCCGCATCGACGTCGCCTTGGTGTCCGCGCGGCACTGTGAGTTGACTGTCAACCCCACCACACGAAGCATCAGCATCCGCGACGTCTCCACCAATGGGACATTTATCAACGGAAATCGGATTGAAAAGAATGTGTGGGTGGAGCTACATTCCGGCGATCGCGTATTCCTCACACATCCGGCGAATGCATCACAACCGGACGCCTCCAGCGTTGGGTTTCTTTTTCAGAGTATCAGTGAAAAAATACGGGCTGACGTACTACAGGAGGAGTTGACGTGCCCTGTGTGCAAGGGTTTGTACGTCCGTCCCTGCAGTATACTCCCATGTTTGCATGTCTTTTGCGCCGGCTGCGTTAGCCGGTGGATAGACGCCGGTAATAGGAAATGCATCCAGTGCCGCTCCGAGGTTTGGGAGGTGCGCCCGACGCACAAGCTACAAAGCTGCGTTGAGGAGTTGCTCAAGACCAACCCTGAGCTCTCTCGCACTAGCGATGAACTGGCGGAGTTAGTGGCGTTTGACACCATTCCGCCGAGGGGAAGAGTTGTCAAAAAACGACGCCGCTATAGTGAAGACCGCAGCGACGATGACGATTATTCCAGTTTGGATAGTACTTCAGAAAGTGACGACGGTGCAAACATTGGCCAAGGTTCCATGTTGAGCTACGATGCAAGTGGGCACGGGCACACTCGCTCTATCGGACGCTGTCAGCAGTGCCGGCGCGCATCTCGTGAGGACGGTTTTCGGTGCCGCCCAGATGGACTACACTTGCACTGCCCAATGTGTTACCGGAGCTTTCCACACCGACCTCTGTGTCCTCGGCCCCAGTGTTGCCAGCTCTGTGGTGCCTCGTACTGTAACCTGTACTACCAACGGGAGGGCGGTTGCCCCGCCAACCGTGGCGGTTTGACGCGCCTGCGACAATGCCCTCCCAGGTCCACACTGCCCCAGAAATGTTTTGGTGGCAACGCTGTGGAGCAAAATATTATTTCCAGGTACTTGTCCGCCAAGGGTATCACGCTGGAGACGGTGTGGAAGGAGTGCCTGGAGAAAATGGAGGCAGGGGAGTGGGTTCCGGACATCACCTGCGTGAATGGGCAGCTGACGGTGGATTCCCCCCTCTGTGAGGAATGCATCAACAGTATCTTTGCGTCATTACTGTTTCACTACCGACGCGCGGTGCCGAATTACGAACTCCCTGAAAGCGTCACTGACAGACCGAGTTGCTGGTATGGCATCAACTGCCGCACGCAGTTTCACAAGGCAGAACACGCAAACCGATACAACCATGTGTGTTACCAAGAGAAGCGGAAGGAGTAGGAGGAGCTCGGAGAGGCGGCGGTGGTGCAGGAGAAGAAAATGATGTTGCGTGCATGCGGTAAGGCGTCTTGAGTATTTAATTATTTTTTTGATTACAAAAAAAAAAAAAATTTTAAGATGAGGTGGTGGGGGAGGGGGGAGGAACCGAAAGGAACAAAACGAAAAGATGTGTGGGAGGGCGGCTGGAGGCACCGTTTTTCTTTCGAATTTCTCTCTTTTGCCGTTTCGTTTCCTTCGCTTGGTTGGGCAGTTGCCCACAGTTTGTTCGCCCCCTTCTCTCATCTCCTCTCCTCTACTCTCTCTCTTCAATTGCCTGGAATGGGGGGGGGGGGACACTTCTCACGTTGTGCCTCCTCCTCCCTCTTCCCTCTTCTCTTTCTTTCTTCCTTTCGTTTGCTGTTTTGTTTGATTCTGCCGCGTATGCTCTCGCCTGCCTGTGGCTTTTGTTGTACTGCCTTTTTTATTCTGCGCAGCCGTGGGGTGAGCGAGAGGGAGGGAAGAGGTGTTCATTGGTCGGCATACACATGAGTGAACATTTTTCTGGGGAGGAGGAGGCCGCTCGTTGCACGAGTCCGTCGTACCTTCTCTCTCCCTACCGCCCGCGGAGTGTGGGGGAGCAGAAGTTCTTGCGACACGCCATCTTCCGAGCCGCGGCGCTGATGGGTTTCCTTTTATATTTTATCTACTGCAACCCTGAATACAGCTATACGTACTCTTACCTCCAGGAGAAGTACGCAGGCAGGGGTGACAAGCCAGTGATACCGAAGCTCCTGAAGCTTAAAAAGGATAAACGAATGATCATTTGAAATAGGGGGGGCGGGGTATGAGAGCCATTGACTTGACGTTGTTCTTGCTTAATCGTAGGGAGGAATACGCATTACAGTAGGGCGGGAAAAGCAAGATGAAGTGTCTGTGTGTATATACGTATGCATTTATAGATATACACCTACGTTGTACTTCTTGGTTCTTTTAAACAACGACAAAAAGAGAAAAAAAGAGAATGTGGCTGTGCTGCCCCAGTTCTGTTCTTGTTGTTCTGTCTGCTGCGGGTGGGGGCAGTGCGATGCTGTCGTCCCCCCCCCCCCCCCCCCCCCATTCACACCTGCTGTCTTGGCGTTCTTGTGGTGCGCATGTGTGTTCCGCCTTTTTTTTCTTTTTTGTTGCTTGTTTAGCGCTGTGGCAGCAGGACGAGCAAAGGAACTGAAAGCGAAAACACGTGTGTGTGAATAAAAACGCGGG